GACAGCCTTCTCTGAGCACAGACAGGAGTTTCCCTGTGAAATTCCAGTGTGCACAGGCTTGCCAGAAGCCAGGAGAGTGTGCGGAGGAGTCCTCCAAGAGCCCTGTCCAACCCTCGCCTTGCCCAAGATGGAATCCAGAGCCGGTGGGCTGGGCTCTGCAAAGCACCAGGGGACAGGGGACCTTGTCAGTTTTTGCCATGGGCTAAGATTCTGTACAGCAACATTGTTTGGAAAGAATGTACAAAAATTAAAATTTATAATAACTAAGAGTAGAGGCCAGCATTTCCTCAAAAGGTTAGACTGTATAATGATCTAAAGAAATTTCTGGGCCAGAATGAGTGGGAGGTAGGGGAGATTAAGGGTGGGTGAAGAGAGGGGGATTGGACAAGAAACATGACTCAGTGGAAGGGGATTTCTGGGTCTGCCTTGCTGTGGTCTTAGGATGTGTTTAGATTTGAATTTCTGCTTCAATTGACTATTTACTGGCCTCCCAGTACATGCCAAGTTCTAACCTAGGAGTGACTGAATGCATGATTTTTAAAAGGTACTTCTGGCCTTTGGAATGGGCTTTTGGCTTTGGAATGGCACTGGCCCTGAGAGTGTTGGCCTTAGGGTCATCTGTGCAATCATTTTTTGTACCCAAGTGGTTTGTCCAACACCTCTGTGTGTCAGGTCCCTAGTGTGTATGTGTGTGGGGGGGGTGGGGGGGGGCAGGATTATGGAGTCCTTCAGGAGGTCAGAATTCTGGGAAGGGGACATGCACAGGAAACTGTCAGGGCTGCAAAATGCCCCCAGGCCTGTAGTAGTTGGTTTTTTGGGCTGAGAAAAATTTCTATGAGATGGGAATACATATTCTGGGCCTTGATAGACAAACAGGTATGTGTGGAGTCGGGTGGGGGGCATTTATCCAGAAAACCTGAGGGCCTGATGCAGGCATTTGTGAAAGGTGAAGCAGGAGAGGCAGACAGGCATGGGGTGGGTACATCAGGGGCCAGCCATCAGGAAACGCCCAAGGCAGGGCGGGCCTGACCATAGGAAAGGGAGTGATAATGGGCAGTTATGGGTTGGAGTTGGACTATGGGCTTGGCTGAAGAGTGGGGAGCTGGTGGGGGAGGGGGAGTGGCTGGCAGGTTCCCAATGCCAATGCCACATGCAGTCCCTCTGTGTGACCTGCTCAGAGGTGATCTTCCAGAGCCTCCGTAGTGGGCAGTATGCATGCCAGTTACAGACCTCCATATGCCCTAATCCCCTGCCTGGGTGGGCCTTAGCTGGTTGTGGGATCTGGCAGCCTTTGTCTACAGCCTCCTAGTACCTGAGAGCCTCATGGCAGTCAATGTCCCCTGAGCCTCAAGTGTTCCCCTTGTCAAACTGGTAAGAAAATATTCATCACTCCAGGCATGGAAAGGTAACCCAGGCAATTACCTTAGCAGGACCTGGCCTAGAAGCATTAATGTTGCTATCTTATCAAAAGTAAGAGCAACAGCCAGCTACCTGCAAAGGAGAATCTTGAAATTACCGGCATCCACAGGCCAGGTTTACTTTGATAAATTTTGTTAGCAACTACCACCTCTATACTATTGCTGGGAACAATGCCAGATGTTTATACTCTTGTCTATCATGTGAGTCCTGTGAAGTTGCTCCTATTATTTCCACCAACAGATGAGAAAACTGAGGCTCTGATATTTTGTATTTCACCTACAGTCAGTAAACGCCCAGGCCTGACTACACAAGCAGGTGCAGCTCTGCTAGGTACTTCCCCCAAAAGTGAAACAAGGTCTTACAGAGGCAAGAAAACACTCTTGGCCTCACTTATAATTAAAGAGGCACACTCCAAAGTGACAACATTTTCTACCCATCAACCTAATGAAGATGAAAACTGCACGTGTAAATAAGGATGTGGGGAAGAAGCTTTACTCATAAATTACCCGTGAGCATTAGAAAATGGTGTGACCTTTAGGAGGGGTTTCTGAGTATCTACTAACATTTTAAACACACAGTTGTTTTTTGTTTTTTTGTTGTTGTTCTATAAATTAAATTTTGGGGTGGGAGAACTTTCCCTAAAAGTCCACAATCACATGCAAACAAAACTCAACTTAAGAGGGTTGCCATGGCAGCACTGCATCTGGTTGAACAAAAATTAAATAAAGTCCGTACATATCCTAAATGCCAATTAACAGACAAATTGGTTAAATAAATAAGTAAAAACAAATTTTTCATAGATTCATACTCTGCAGCCTGCCCCCTAATTAGTCTATACATGGTGGTAAGGTGCGATCTTTAAGATGTTCTTACAGAAAAATGCAAGATGAAGTAGAATATATAAAATGGGTTCCATTGTGTAAAATAAGAAGAAATTGCACAAGCATATAATGCTTTCAGAAGAATTCTCAACAATCAATGAAGCCATTGTCCTTGGGGTAGGAAGAAATTGTTTTTGTCTTCCCTGTTATTAACTCTTTATTGATCTCATTCCAATTTGTTTGGTTTGGATTTTAACTTGTGCTTGTGGGGACATTGTGTTGGCTCAGTCACTGGAAGGTGTTAGGGTTAAGGTTTCAGAAAAAAAAGTGTATATATATATATATATATGTACTGTTTTCTGATATATATGTGTATATATATGTATAATATACATATTACATATATATATATTTATATATATATATGTGTGTGCCATTCCCACACTTACATAGATAGATATAGATATCATTCAAAGAGTCAAACCAACTTGGCTTGTCCAACCTCTCACTTATCCGCTTCTACAACAAATAACAGAATGCCTTTTACCCCACATCCTTCTGCTTCCCAGAGTGCTTTGCAAGTCCCCAGAAATACTTGCTTAGCCAAAGGCACCCTGGGAAAGATCCAGTGGCTGATGGTGCCAGCCCCATGTGACTCCCAGCACCACCAATATCTGGAGGGATTGAGCAATGACTGCGATGGAATTTCATTTGGCACTTAATACAGTCCTCACCGCTTCTGCCAGAGGCAGCAGGATTCTATATAAAGCTGCCAAACCTGGCTGTCTCCTCACTGAGCGCTGACCCCTTCCAGCCAAGGGCAAGGCAAAAGGACTGCTGTGCATGACTCACTGGCAGTGACATTCAGGCCTAGGAAAGCAGGCTAAGCCCAGCTGGGCAGGGCAAGCCTGGCTGACAGAAGTGGGTCCTCTTCAGTCTAACCTCTGGTTCTGAGGAGCAGTTACAGCTATGTAAACTGACACAGGATATAGACACATCCTGTCTGAGTTAGCGGCAAGAAATAGGGCCCCAGGGTTCTCCCACAGCAGGGATCCTGCCATAAATCAACTTCAGAGGGTAATCTGGAATGGTATGCAAAAGGGCTGCATCTCTATCAATCCCAGAAGGGAGGTGTTTGCAGTCATTGGTCAAGATCTGAAACTGGAATCCTGGAGAACTAACTGGAGGGCGGGGCAGGGGTGGGCCATCCTCTTTAGGGGTGGGAATGGCTGCAATCTGAACTTTGGCAGTGCCTGAACTGAAACATTACTGTGGTTTCTGTCTTCTTTTCCCTTAATCTAGGCCCTGGAGCATGTACGTATGTAAACACACTATTATACATGAACTCGTGGACTGTAGTTTTATGTAAAGTTAATATAAAGACATTCATTGAACACTTGGTATGTGTTGGTCTGCCGTTTATATGCACTTAATTCTTAAAAAATCCAACTAAGAATATCCTATTATTATTTCCATTTTACAGAAGACAAAACTGGAGCCAAGAGAGTTTACTTTTTAATAAGTGGCATAGCTTATTCTGATACTGACAGCAAAGCCCAGAAACCCAGCTTTCCTTATAGGAATAGTGTCTGCTACCTGAACTGACCCAAGCATGCTACAGGGCATAATAAGCAGGATCCTGGGCACTTACAGGCATCGAAACACATACCTGCAGATCTAAGCTTTCTCATCCACATCCACGCCCTGGCTTGGGCTGCGCAGGTCTCACCAACAACTGCATTTCAAAGACTTTAACTAGAGTGCTTGTCTCCAATACTCACATCATTATCATATTAAAAATCTAACTTGATCACATTATAGATTCAAACTATCTCTTCTGACAAACTTTTAATATTTGGCCAGGATGGAGATAAAAGGATAAACAAAGAAGGAGGAGGAGGAGGAGGAA